GTTAAGAATTCACATATATATTTAAAAAATGTGAAAATTTGACATATTAGAAATTGTGAACAAATAAGTTTAATTTTCAAAAACCAAAATCTGAAAAATAAAATAGTTATCAAAAGCAACTTTTAAATTTAGGATCAATTTGATAATATAATTAAATAATAAAACTATATATGTGTACAATAAAAATTACCCAAAATTTAAATTCCAAATAGCGTTCCTAATTATTATTTTGTCTTGTTTTACATTTAACAATTATATAGTGTGAATATTGAATCATAGAACTTGGATTGACTTTAGTTTTTACATTTAATGTTTAAACATTTCATTTTAGTTTATGATTTTTTCTCGAGTTCAATAAAATTGATATTTGTCGGGAATTTTTTTTTTGTTTTTTTTTTGTTCCATTTTAGATTATCAATGAAAGATATAGAATTTTAGTTGAAAATAGAAAACAATTATTGCTGTATAAATCATTTTATGGACACCGACCAGACCAGACATTGAAACACAAACACGATACAGTATTTATGAAGGTAATAAATAGGCTCTTTAATATGAGACTTTATATCCGTAAAAATAATAAAAAAAATTATTTTAATGGCAACCAAAATAAAAGTCAAACAATATTTTTCGTCTCATCTTTTTAATTGGGGCATCAGTAAACCAGGAAAACTGTGTTGAAATCGCTCAAATCCTTATCCATAAAAAGGGCAGATGGCATTTGGATTTGGCACTACGACAAAAAGAGGTGTACAACGTGAAAAGTGATTACCGAGCTTCTTATGTTCAACAATGACTCATTCCGTTAGGATACTCATAAATGAATTAAATTTATCCAGTCATGATATCAGAGTAAGAGGTTATGTTTTCAAATCCCTACAATATTATTTCCTCCTCATTTATAATAATTTATCTACGTACTGGTTTAGTCATTAAATTTTAGTATATATATATATTTTTCAATACAGCAAATATGGGTGGGATGTATCACATAATTGAATTGTATAAAAATATATCAAAAAGAAAAAATATAAATTTAGGTCGGATAAGGTAACATTATTACTAACTTGAGTATCAACGAATCAAGTACCTAACTAGAAGGTTGTGAGTCCGAAAGAAAAAATATCATTGGTTGGGAAAAAAAATCGAACTTCAATTTGTAAATTTCATCACTTTCTTTTCAAATTCAATTAAAACMAAAAAAAGGAAAAAAATCAGTCCACTTCTCGTCAAAGCCTCTCAACAAGTTTTAAGTTTTGATTAAATTACAACAATAATACTTTTTTTTATTTTAATGTACAAAGAACCTAATATTGTTATTAATTTAAATGAATGGTTTCTAATTTGTTTTAGATAATTATTAATTTAGTCATTGATCGGTTTTTAGTTCAACAATGTAAGAGGAGAGATTGAAACCTCCAACTTTCTTTCTTTAGTACAATAAGTTCGAACTATGACAGATATATGTGTCAATTATCATTGAACTAAGTTCAGATTGGCAAAAAATTAGTTAACTAATTCTCTAGAAAATTGTTATAATTTGTGAAACTAAAAGTTGATACAATATTAAATCACTCAATATTAAATCACTATCTAAAGTACTTATTTCCGACCAAAATACCATGTGTTTGAATCTATATTCCAATAATATTAATATATATATATATATTGCTAACATATTTGGACACATCAATATGCTCCACTCATATATGCACACGTTAAACCCAACTTATTTATAGACAAAACTTAATCCGTTGTTCACTAAAATCTAATTCTTTCCAAATTAGACAATACACCAACATTCTTTTAACAAATCTTTAACATATTTTGTATGGAAGGTTTTTTTTCGTACATTTTTATACTTTAATGATAAATTTAAATATTTTAAAACATAAATAGTCAAATTGAAAAAAAGAAATCTAAAAAGATTAAGGACCTTTTGATATTTTAGCCTCATTAATATTATCAAATAAATTTACGAGTTTGGCTAAAACGAGCATAGCTCAGTGATAATTGAAATATATATCCAACAAAGAAGTTGTGAGTTCGATCTCCCACCCCATATGTTGTACTAAAATTTATGAGTTTAAAATTTACCATCTCCACAAATGTCTAAACTCTTTAGTACTAAGTTATTGTCAATCCGAGAAATGAAAATTAAAAAATTAAGAACAAAAACATAATTTAACTAAAAAACAAATAATACATGTGTAATTAAATTTCATAAGCTCGGGCTTTGGATTGGGAAATTTGATTGGCCTGCCTGTGCTTTGGAGAACTAGACCATCCCAAAATCCGAACCGACAATCTTGGGTCAACTACTTCCCTATACGGCGTCGTTTGGTTCGTCTGATTTCCACGCCGGCTAGATCTGGCGCGAGGGCATTTTTGTCATAATTGACCCTTAACCGTCTAATTCACGCCAGCGTCACATTCTCCACCCGCCCCCTTCTCCTTAAGTCCGTTCTCGTTCCTCCCGAAGCTCGCCACTGTAACTCTTCGCTCGGGACGATCTCCGGCGGCCGCGAATTCTTTCAAAATGACGAAATCGCCCTTCCGCCTCCCTCTCCTCCTCCTCCTCCTCCTCGGCCTCCTCGCCGTCTCCACCACCGCCGAGATCAAATCCCTCAAGATCTCCTCCGACAACCGGCCGATGATTCTCTTCGAGAAATTTGGCTTCACGCACACCGGTCAGGTCGCCATATCTGTCCAATCCGTCTCCGTCGCTTCGTCGCTCGCTGAAATCGACCCTTCTCGGCTTGGATTCTTCCTGTTGTCTGAAGAATCTCTCCTTCAAGTCCTCCTCGAGATCCAGCAAAACCCTCAGTTTTGCGTCCTCGATTCTCGCTACATCAATCGTCTCTTTACCTTTCGGGACCTCTCGCCGCCGCCTCAAAGCTCCTTCAGCCGTTCCTATCCCGTTACTGCCCCCAATGAGTACAGCCTTTTCTTCGCCAATTGCGCTCCCGAATCCTCGGTTAATATGCAGGTGCGGACGGAGGTGTACAATCTCGACCGCGATGGCTCCAAGGACTATCTCTCCGCTGGCCTTACTCAGCTTCCTTCTCTCTATTTCGTCTTTTCCCTTGCGTACCTTGGCTTCTTAGGGCTTTGGATCTACGCTTGCCTCACGAATAAGCGCACCGTTCACAGGATCCACTTGTTGATGGGCGGATTGCTGTTGATGAAGGCGTTGAATCTCATTTGCGCTGCTGAGGACAAGCATTATGTTAAAAGCACCGGGACGCCTCACGGTTGGGATGTGTTGTTTTACATTTTCCAGTTTATCCGGGTTGTTTTGCTTTTCACGGTGATCGTTTTGATCGGAACTGGGTGGTCCTTTTTGAAGCCATTCTTGCAAGAAAAGGAGAAGAAGGTGTTGATGATTGTGATCCCACTTCAAGTCTTGGCTAACGTGGCTTCGGTTGTGATCGGCGAGACCGGGCCTTTCATCAAAGACTGGGTCACTTGGAATCAGGTTTTCTTGTTGGTGGATATCATATGTTGCTGTGCCATAATTTTCCCCATTGTTTGGTCGATCCGATCTTTGAGAGAGACATCGAAGACCGACGGGAAGGCTGCGAGGAATTTGGCAAAGCTCACTCTTTTTAGGCAGTTCTACATTGTTGTGATCGGCTATTTGTACTTTACACGGATCGTCGTTTTTGCGCTCAAGACCATTGCCGCATACAAGTATCAGTGGGTGAGTAATGCAGCTGAGGAAATTGCAAGCCTGGCCTTTTATATGGTGATGTTCTACATGTTTAGGCCTGTGGAGAGAAATGAGTACTTTGTTCTCGACGAGGAAGAAGAAGAGGCTGCGGAGTTGGCTCTCAGAGACGAAGAATTTGAGCTCTGAAATGGGCATTGAAGAGTACTTTCTAGTTCTTATTGCCATCTTTTTCTTCTGCCATACAAATGCAAGTGATATAGCTGATTTACAAATAGAAATTGTTGAAGTCGGGTCTGCTGCTCATTTTGCTGATGTTTTTTGTTTTGCCCTCCTTTCAACTCGTGTAGAAACTTGAAAATTGTTCTCTGTTTTTTGTTATCCATGTTTATGTTTCATGTCATAATGCTAAATAGTGACTTCCGCATATAGAGTTCGCTCAAACATGAAATGTGAAAGCCTCTTTATTCTGTTCCTCTATTATCTTGCTCTTCTGATCCTTCTGATTGTTGGAGAACATGTGCCGCTCAGAAATTTGATTAACTTTCGGGTCACTGATAGAGATGCCATTTCGCTGCACAAATTTCCTGCCTGAAAGACCAGTCGAATGATCTTTATAGTATGTTAGTTTGCAGGGGGAGTTATCTAACCAAACAACCTTTGTGTCGCTAACTGTAGAAAGTGGTATCCATAATAATACTTGATTCGTTTCTGTAGCTTTGTCTTCATTTACAATTTATATGTGTGTATGTGTGTATCATTGCTTGATATATTCCTTGCTTAGATTTTCTTCTTTTCTCCCTTTTCCTTTTTCCTTTTTACGTCTGTTTCTGGTGCAGATTCTTGGTGGTGCTATTTAGTAATCTGGCTGTCATTCATATTTGTTGTGGAGAGTATTTTGACTGTTTATTCAAAGAGTTTTTCCCCATATTGCAGAGTTTGATTGATTATTCAGTTTCGAGCTGAAAATTGTTCTTGGTTCTTCAGAAGATTGTTGGTGGGACTATGAGGTTGGTAGCTAGAATAATTTCTGAATCATGTTTGCTTCTGAGAACCTTTTTTGTCTATATATATTTGAGGCCATTTTTGCTGTGAGAGAATTATTTAGTACAACCAAATAAAGGTTAGGAGCAAGCAAGAATTTATTAGGAAAGGATGATATGATGCATGCTGTTGTGACCCTTGATAAATTGCCTAGTGGGTCTAACATGTAATGTCTAATACTGGTAATGGTGTTAAGGACGGAACATAACCTAAAATTTAAAATTTTTAAAGATCAATATTCAATAGACACAGAACTTCCTTGGATGGGTCATAAATTCAATTCAGATTTAATGTATGGAGGTTTGAGACAACTTCCCTTTTCTTGGAAAAGAGATCCTTTGGATTTTTCGACCCTAATACTAATTCCCATTCCAGTTTTGCACCATTTGGGACTTCTTAACAATCTTAAGAGGGTTTCTTAACAGTTTTGATACAAGAAAAAAAAGGTCTCTTAACAGTTCTGTCATCATATCTTCACATAGATGATTTCTGATTTGTACGTTCATTTTCTGTTCTGTACCCTTTCTTCCTTAGGGTCATTTTGAGATGAATTTCTTGGCAACTTCAAGGGAAAATGCTACTGATGAAGCATAGGGCTAAATCATAAAGAAGAGATGTTTAATGTTGCCAACATGAGCATAGCTTAATAGTTAAGGCATCTTGCTCTTTTCATAGAAGTTGGAGGTTCAATTCCTTGTTCCCATATTTGTTGTGCTCTTAAAAAAAAAGAGTAATGCTGAAGTTATCAATAGAACTAAGTTGGAGGTTCAATCCCTCGTCCCCATATTTGTTGTGCTCTTACAAAAAAAGAGTAATGCTGAAGTTATCAATAGAACTGAAGGCAAACAATGTTTGATCAGTAATATTTTTCTAAATGGGTTCAAATCATGATGATCATCTGTTAGACCTCCAATAGAGAAGGTTTATTTACGGAAGGGTTTTGAAAACCGTTTTAATTAGTTTCTTTGTAAACATTATGTTGGGGAAGTTATAAGAAGTCCCTTAGGTTGTTATGTTGGCTTTTGTTGTTCTGTATTTTGTGTCTTTTCTTAAAGAAATGTGGAGAGTTAGATTACCCCATTGAATTGGTCCATCTATCACCATCCTACTTGAAATGACTCAAACACTCACGAATATTAAAGAATTTTTTTTTAATATTTGAAAATATTGTCCTATGAGTTATGACATAGCTCTAGTGTGCTTCGTCGCTAAGACAAGCTATGGTTCACCCACGTGAGAGATCATATTGGCTTTTTCAATATTTTCTAGGGGAAAAAAGAATCATGTTGATCCTTGGATCATGGTTTTTGAATAAAATAGGACCAAGTCGYTGAAATACCTTTTGCTCTAATCAATCTCTCTTCTTATAATGAATCTGAATAGTCAACAATTCTTTTTCTTTTGAATCTTACAAGTTAAGCATTCTCACAAGTGCCCTTTACCATGGAAAGTCTGCCTTGAAGTTCTATTAATGCTTTACGATCAAGTTTCTGCCTGCGGGCAGGCATGAGACTATAATTTTTTAGACGGGTAAGGACACAAGATAAAGGTTATGATCGGTACATTCCTCATTCTATTATTCAACTCAACTGTTATTGGATAAGAACTTGATTGAAGAAAGAAGAAAAAAAAGGGAAAGAGAAATTTGAATGGATGGTAAAATTGATTGTCATATTTGTAATGTCGAATAAATTTGGAACTGAGAGTGACAAAATTAAAAAAATATATATATATTGTGTAACTAAATGGTATATATAGCTACAAAATTACAAGGGGTACAACTAAGCAAGTTTGAATTTTGAAATTGAGTTTTCCCCCACTTTTATTAAAATAAGAGAGAAAGAACCACTTGTGCTACATGCAAATCAAGTATCTTTTATGATGACACTAATTAGGTATGTACGTTCATAAATTAAAAAACTTCTTGATGAGTAAATTGCATTAAAAGCCAAACATCGACCAACTATACTTTAGTTTATGTCAGATTTCTTCAAAGAACTTGGTAAACACTTTATCTACTCACTCCAMGTGCCAACGAATAATAGAGAAACTTTGACTGTGACTGGATGTCTGATTCCACACAAACCTAGTCCATCAACATTATATTTAACCATTTTGTTGTTGTATAAAGTAATTTTTTAAATAAAAATTTTAGAATAAAATAGATTTTTGGTCTAAAGTTTCGAAAGAGATATTTTTAGTTCCTAAAATTTAGAATATACTTCTAGGTTACTGAGCTCATTTGACCATTACTCCTGACTAACAAAAAGTTAGGGGGTGTTAAATTTCTTGCTGTGATTTGGCCCAAAAAAAAATATATATATATACACTAATGTTCTCTAAACTTCCTTTTTCCTTCCTCTCTCCGTGAACTTCACTGTGGCTTTGCACTCCTACACTAGCCATCGCCAAAGATGTTCCATGCGGATTTGAAACTCGAGAATCGGATCCTCGTTCTGGAATGACGTTCTAGATCTAAAGAGAAACAATGTGTTCCTCATTCTAGATTGACGAGGAACATTCATTTCTTGTTTAGATTTAGAACGTTCATGGAGTGAGTATCAAGATTTGAGGTGAAGTTGCAACTACCAATGGTATACAGCAACCAAAGTAAAAAAGTGGCAACCTAATGGTTGGATACAGTGTCTTAAAGACGCTGTGCTATACTCTAATGGGCTAAAACTTGGGCTATTTTAATTTGAAAAAAAATAAAAATAAAAATTTCATGCGTGACATGTAATCCGTCAAAATTTCGAAGTTCTCGACTCCATGATAATAGGAGGCCATTTTATCCATGGTCTACAGCTACACGCCTTATCCAAACTCCCAAGAATGCAGCAGGCAGTGGCTCCACCGCGAGTCACTGTAACCGCCGCGCGCCGGCCGCAGCAGATTGCGACGAAGGACAATAAGACCGCAAAAGGCCGGAGCATCAACGTAGGGTTCGGGGGAAAACGAAAGGAGCAATTATGGCAGTGCGTCGAGGGATGCGGCGCCTGCTGCAAGCTCGCCATGGGGCCCTCCTTCGCCACGCCGGAGGAAATCTTCGAGAATTCTTCCGATATCGAGGTTCGTCAATTCGTTTCGTAGTCGGTAATTTAATAAGTTTAAGCTCGAACTCCTCTGGCATTTGCTTCTTCTTCAGTGCTGTGATTTGCAGTACCAATCGATGGTTTTGTTCTGTAAATTTCAGCTCTATAAAAGCTTGATTGGCGCAGATGGATGGTGCATTCACTACGAGAAGAGCACACGTAAATGCTCCATTTACGCCGGTAAGATTCCAGCCCTCATGCCGCCGCTGCTTCAAACTTTGAATTGTAACGCTCGAGTTCGAAACATGAAATTTGTTCCCCATTTCCTTTCGCAGATCGTCCATACTTTTGCCGCGTAGAGTCTCCTGTATTTGAGAAGTTATATGGAATCAAAGAAAATAAGTTCAACAAGACCGCTTGCAGGTCTTCTCATAAACCTCAGGATCTTCTTTTCTATGTTTTGGTTTAGACCCTAGTCCTACCGCGTCCATGGAATTTCATTAGTAATTAAAAGGTCAGCAGAACTAGCATTTTTGGAGAACGAAATCCTAATTAAGYGTTTGGTGCATTGTTTTAGGTGTTTTTAATATTTTAAAATTTTTTAAAATTGCTTTTGACTATATAACAAAAAATTGTATCAAAATTTTAAAAAGTATTTTTAATATACTAAAAACAATGCACAATTCTAAAAGTATTTCAAACTTATTCCTTTTCGTGAATATTTATGCTTGTATCTATTTAGTACCTAAACTTTTATAAGCTTCGTTATGCCTTTGAATTTCAAATTTTAGTCCTATATAGTCCATGTAATTAATATCCTTAACTAAATGATGATGTGATATAGCTAATGGACACAAATTGGACAATTAGAACGAATGATAGGAGAAAATGATAAACCATAAACAGAAATGTTACCGAACACTGAAAATAAGAAACAGAAGAACTGGGCTAGGGCTGAGAACAAACATAGAGTATAGAAATGAACCAACTAGTTAAAGCTTGTGAACGAGAGAAAACCCAGAGAGAGTTTGGCAGATGAATAGGATGGGAGGAATTCCAGTAACATATCCACCTTGATGTTTTTTAGGAATATCAAATTCTTGTGGTTGGGCTGATTGTTCATCTTTCCTGCAGTAGCTGTAGGGACACTATAAAAGCAGTCTATGGTTTCCCATCCAAGGAATTGGAAAACTTCAACAAGGCAGTTCAGAGCTGAGTCTGTATAAAATACAAAGGTCATATATATTTCTTATGGATGATCAAGTATTTGTTGTGTTGTACCATGCTGACATGTTGACKAGAAACATATATGATTCTCTGCAGTCTTCTTGTGATCAAATCCTTCCTTCTAGCTATGCATAGGGTTGTTTGGAAACTGTTCTGAAAACATTTTTTTGTAAATAAAAAATCTGTAGAAGTAGATAACTTTTCCCAAGAGAGTTTTTCTTGTTCTTTTATGTGTTTTCATGAATTTTTTTTTAAGAAAATAAAGTTGCTATGCTTTCTAAAATCACATATTTGTAGATAGTAATTTCAATAGCTTTTACGATTCATTCCATACAACTTCTAAACAGCCTGTTCATTTATACAAACATTGGAGCAAGAATTATAGATGCAAAGAGAGAGAACTCTTCTCTTGTTTAGCCTCAGACCCTGAACCCGGGTTATTTATAGAACCCCAAACCAAGCAAATCGCGGTGCCAACACTTATGTTCCCAATTTCTGATTCTCCATCAAAGATTAAATATTGTTGAGATTGAAGCCATGGAATGATGCACTAATATATTTAGTGCATTGTCGTGTTTAGGGTCTGAAGGAGCCTTCAATAACATGTATTCCAGAAGATAAGAGAAATGGTGTATAGCACATGTTGGCCACTATGGAGACGGTCTGTGCAAGGCATGTCTCTGCCAGAAAGCAAAGAAGAAAAGGGATTCTTAGCCAGCAGTTGGAGGCAGCTACTTTCTTCTTGTTCAATCTCGGTGAAAGAAATGAGATAAGATGCTTTGGCAACTAATATGGAAATGCCTTTCCCTTTTTGCTGCTTTTCATCCCCCAAAAAAAGCTGCTTCGAATATTGCCTTTTGCAAGCTAAAAAGTGAGGAAAACGTTAGAATTAGAACATTGTTAACTTAACATATTATGTGGATGAAGCATGTGATGTAGCAGTAGGAATTCAACCTTTATAAAGAGATTTCATTCTCTTGATTGGGTGAATGCTTTTATTGGGTGGAAATGAACAATGCCTCCACATTAAAATGTAGGAATTGGTCCCGAGTTCACCGCAATAAGTACCTATTTTCGTTGTCTTGAAAAGTTAGTTGTACCTGTCCTGTGATTTCAAAAAGAGTATGTTTTTAGATTAGAATGGAATCCACTACAAATATGGTGTTTTCTTTCTCCTTTCCAAGTTTATATAACAGGTCATATCAACACTTCCATTCCCCCAAGGCCCAGTTTCAAAATCTAGGATACCTTGTGGCCTGTGATTCCCTTATAAACAAATATATTGTAAACAAGAGAGTTGGAGCTTGAATATCTGCTATGAGTTACAGTGGTTCTGACTCCATTGGCCTTATCATGCCAAATGGAAACAGCTACGACTACCCTCCAGAGCAGTATTCTCCTCCATTTTGGACAACAGAGATCGGTTTCCCAATCAGACACCAGTCTGATGGAGACCCAATAGGAGACAGTTCTGAGGGTGAGCAGTCTTACCACAGTTGTTTTGGTTATTCCACTTCTTACACTGAATTTTGCAGAGATCTCTTCTTCAATTTCCAAGACCAAGACCCATATGGCTATCAAAATGGCTGCACAATGGAGAATACAGATGACATTCTCCTCCACAATGAGGATTATAATGGAGATTCTAGAAATTTGGGCTATGAATCTGCTTGGGATTGCTTTCAGTCTTGGTTTCGACTTGGAGAAGATGAGTTCAGCTATCACTGGAATGGACGAGCTGAAACCTGAACATGACTGCAATTCCGAGGCTATGGCACTCATTGTTTCCATCTTAGGGTACTAATCGAAAAGAATTCCCTTCTAGTACTAAACCAGTATTGTTTAAACACGAAATTACAAGTATCCATTGAGTACTAGAAATTTTTTTTCATATATGAAGTTAGACTAATCACTCCTTTACTTTTTTGTCAGACGGCAATTGGTTGGATGAAATGTACTCGGAGCTATTTGTTTTCTCTTCAAATGTTTGGACCAGAACTAATAATAAATTTCCCCCAGTTTAATACACCAAAGAAATAAACAAAAAAAATCATTCAGACATCTCAATGGTCTGTCTTCTATCTCTCTATCTCTTAGCATTTAAGAGGAAGTTCTCCCTGTGATCAATGAATGAAGCCAAAATTTAAAACTATATCTATTCTAATAATGACAGAAAAAGGAAAAAGATTGTGCAACATGTATCACTGTACATTAATTTTCTCTCTCTTGAATTACACAAACTGTCCTCATATTACATCGCCAAGGCCCAACTCATCTTCAATGTCATCCCCATCTTCAAACAGCTTCAGAAATCTAGCCTGATCTTGCTCCCTTCTCTTCTTTTGCCAATACTTGTAACCAACCACGATACCGATAATTAGCACAGTTGAAACCAGAGCACTTATAACTATGATTGCAGCAACATGCATTCCCTGTTCGCTGTTATGCGTAGGCGCACTTGAACTGGAAACTGCAAGTATCAATTTAAGAAGAAATCTTAAATGCCGTTTGTAACACTTCTCTGGAAACTGCAAGTATCAATTTAAGAAGAAATCTTAAATGCAGTTTGTAACACTTCTCGGGCACGCGACCAGGTTAACAGAGTCACAGTCGTAGATTTGTTCGACATGATTAAGAAACAGGGAGCATGAGAGCAAGTTCATAGATTAGATTATGCATATGTTCTTAAAACTCTCAAGGTTCTTTATTGCAGCAATTATATAGCTAATGGAAATACCTCATTTAGCATCCTTACTTAAGGATTGGGAATTCACTAGAAGTTCCCTCAATAGGTGGATTAAGGTTTATATAGTTACACTCATCTAACTAGAAGAGGCAAAAGTGAAAGGAAAATGATGATACAAAACTTCAAGGATTCTAAGAACAACAAAGCTTATATTTATGTTCACAAATCCTGTTTCTTCAAACTCAAAAGTTCCCATGATAAACAACCAAAATGTCCAAAATGGACTGAGTAAGGCGATTTCATTTTCTACACGTGCAGTTCAAAATATTGAAACTTGAAATATGTGAAGGCAATATAATTATTCACGTTTAGAAGGCAGAGTCATAAACTATAGTATATTGCCACTCACCATTGGAATAAGCTGTGCACTGCAAGCACATAAAAGTGGCATTGAACTCTTTTTCGTTGAATCGTACATATTTCCCAGCGGGAGCTGTAAAATCAGATGGACAAAACTCCCACTCCTCGAATACATCATCAGATTTTATGCTGTCCTCCTCGTAGAACCCACATCGCTTACACTTTTTGCTTTCAAATTCAGTCAATGGCTGAAAGCACAAACAAGGATAGTATTTCAACATTGGAACCAATTTAACAACAATGAACAGTGCCATTTTTGTTACTGTGTATGTCAATTCCCCCTTCCTCAGTAGAGATCAACGAGAAGAAGATATGCAGATACAAAAGTGAGACATAACCACCCTCATTACTTTCACTATGTTTCTATGCAATAAAGATTTCTAAAGGTATTTGTTTTGAGTGAGACAGATACAAAAGTTCAAATGGTCATACCCTAATGTCCTAGATACAAAAGTTCAAATTGTCATATCCTAATGTCATATTTTTTCTTTTCTTTTTTTTTTTTATTTTTTATATCGCGGGGAGTCGGAACTTTACTCTCCACTCTCCACTACTGAGGAGAGCCTGTGCCGGCCCCAAAACCCGAATTTAGGAGACATCAAGATTTTTGGTATTGAGCTCGCAGATCGTTCGAACACTTGAGACCACCTCTAAGTCAATAGGGCCAAGAGACCCCAACTCTTGGCGTGGTCGGGCACATATCCTATTGTCCTATTGCTAAGTTATTTTCCAAATTTTGGGAAGAACTTCAATCAAAACACATTTTAAGCACTTGGGTTCCACCGAGTGATATTTTTGGTGGGTAAAATCTGATCTCTCAGCCATTCAAGTGAAATTACGACACCCAATAAAGTGGACATGAAAAGAAGGAAAAAAAAAGGTGGAAAAGCTTCAACAGAGCTCAAAACAACTTGACGATAAACCACAAACCTGCCAAGATTCTTCACCATTGAAGCTGTATAAAACATGCTCTTTCTGTACATCAGGCAATTTCGTTTTGTTTCCCCCTTGACATTGAAAATAAACAGTGGGTTTGGAGGCCAACCACTCGTGTGTCTTGTATATCATTACGGAATCAAGCGTAACAACCGCCGATTCTGCGCCCCCTGAAAACATTTCCAATATTTAATCCCCGACTTCATAAAATTGCAAACAACAATAAACATAGAAAACAAATCAAAGCCCAAACAGCAACATAGAAACCAAAAATTTCCATCTCGTCGGCTAAATTTTACCTGCAACGCAGTTCAGGAATGCCGAAACAATAAGAAAGATCGACGAAACTCTGAAATTCAGAGTACACCGAATCGGCATATCGCGAATTAATTAAAATTTGGAAACTCCGCCCTCAGCTCGCCTAAATCAATTCCAGAAATTCCAGATAAGAAAAATCGGAGGGAGGTCAAAACGCCGGGATCGGAGAGAGAGAGCGGTGGTAGACGGCGGAGCTGGAACTCCGATTCGATTAAACGGAAGCTTCAAGGCTATGGCGGTTTCGGGGTGCTTTGCGTGGGAGCGAAAATAACTAGGAGTTGGGAGCTTTGGCTGACCGGTTCATGGATTTGTGGGTAACGTTGGAGGGACTGGGGAATTTGCGTCTGTGACACGCATACACCAACGTGCACCTGTTACTGCGCCGGATTTCTGCCACGTAATGTGAAGCTCACATCATCGGATGGTGGTGGTTGCGTAGCGTAATCTGTAAGGCTGCGGCAATCGGAGGCGATCTGCCATTGATCGACGAACGTAGTATGGAACCGCCTTATAGGATTCTTTCCCATTTGAACGATGTATATATTTGACTTAATTTTTTCCTCTCTCTCTCTTTTTATTTTTATTGATATCTTAGGTTGACATTTTTATATTAACAAATGTGAATTTCACGGTCACATGAACTAGAAATCTCCCCGCTCCACGTTTATTCTATTGGAAAAAAATAATAATAATGTGAATTATATCAAAGCATTCGATTAGTGTCTTCGAATTTTTTGTCTCGACTTGCCTACCGATATATGTTATATTTAAATTGATTTAAGATGTATTGTCAATTTAAACATAGTTCAACTAGTTAAGACATATGTCAGTTGGAAGTTCTGATTTCCATTTTCATTGAACTAAAAAATATTGATATAATGCATGTTTATTTTAAATATATAAAATAAAAAAAAAAACAAAACAAATGTTATTTTTGAAGTGTGCTATTAATTAAAACTCACAAATGGACCTCACAATCATCCAAATAACTTATCAAACTCTGACTGAACGAAAGAAAATCAAATCAATTTTATTCATTTTCATAAAGAGTCGTAGCATTATGACAAATTTAAAGAGAGGAATAAAGAATTCAAGGAGAATTTTATTTAGTATAATAAATGTGCGGCGTAGAGATTTGTACCTAGTTCAAAGGAGAGAGTTCGATATATTTGAGTTATGTAAGCTGTATAAGTTCACATCTCTCACTTTTATTGCACATTTCATCACTGATTATTTGGATCTAACATAAACCTATTGAATGCCAATTACACATCATTTTTGTAGCAATTGACTATAATTAAACTAGTAACGATATTTATAACTATGCTTAAAAAATCGATGGTACAAGTCTTCATCCCATAATTGAATTATAACTATGGGTGTTCGCATGACAAGGCGGGATGAGGAAGGCTTTCCCATCTCTATTCCCGCCCTTTATTTGATTTCCCACGGAGTTTTGTGAGGATCAAAGTGGAGAAGAAAACAAGGATCATTTAGATTACAGGGACAAAACTCTTTCATTCCAACCCCATAAGGATTGTAAATGAAGATTCACCATCCCATTGAGAGAAAATAAGCATCTTTAATTGTAATATTAATTAAAAAAGAAAGATGAAAAAAAATCTTTTTATCCAAATTAACGAAAAGATGAAAAAAATCTTTTTATCCAAATTAACTTGTCTCATAGGAGTGTCATACTCATATATTTCTCTCGATGTCACACAATGAACCATATAGTTTCGTGCATCTTTTTTAATTTCATCAAACTCCATTATTCTCCAGCATAGAAAAATTGAATAGAATTATAGAAACTATCATGTCAAGTAGTAATTTAAAAAATTAAGTTTAAATCTCTTTTTTTTTTTGCCTCTTAATATACATTTATTCAATATATACTACTCCAACCTAGGCATCTTTCCATACCTGTGATAACACATTAAAACACATGCTTAAAACCAGATAATAAAATTAATAAAAGTAAAATAATAAATGAGAACAACAATAATTATTTAAAAGAATAAAAAAAATTTTAATGACAAAAAAAAAATAAAAATAATAAAATGATTTTTTTAGGGGAGAAAAATGAATTATGACATTAATAGGAAAGAAGTTTACTAAATTGAAAAAAAAAGGGAAATAATTAGCGAACAAAGTGGAAATTTATTGACAAAATTAGACAAAAGCGCTTCTCCTCTCCTTCAATTCCTTCCCTTTCGCTCCGCTGCTCTAAACTCAGGGCAGCAGCTTCACCACCACCACAAGCCCTAATCATTCTCTCACCGCCATCGCTGCCGTTGCCGCCGCCGGTAATCCCAAATGTCGCCGCCGCCGCTTTCAATTCTTCCTTCTCTTCTACTCTGTATCTCTCTTCTCCTCCCGATCGCCTCACATCAGCAACAATCTCAACCCTCCAATGGCGATGCTGGAGCAAACGCAACGGCCTCAGGCAACCAAAACCACACGGCGCCGCGACGCGGTGTCTATGCTCGCGAATTTCTTGTAGCGCACAACAAGGTGAGGACGAAAGTGACACATCCGCCGTTCGGATGGGACAAGAAATTGGCTCGATACGCCCGGCGCTGGGGGATGAAGCGCTGTGGCGATTGCAAGATGATTCACTCGTACGGTCCGTACGGCGAGAATCTGTTTTGGGGAGCGCTCGACCACTGGACGCCGACGGAAGTGGTGGAATCGTGGGCGAGCGAGGTCCAGTTTTACGACGCCCAAAATAACGCGTGTTCCGAAGGCCAAATGTGCGGCCATTACACGCAGATCATTTGGAAAGATTCTGCCAAAATTGGATGCGCGCGCGTCCAGTGCCAATCCGGAGGCCTGCTCATAATTTGTGAGTACGATCCGCCTGGAAATTATGTCAATGAAAGCCCGTTCGACACCTTCGCCGGCGGAGCCTCCGCCCGCGCGTCCGCCCCCACCTCCGCCTCCGCCCCCGCCTCCGCTCCCGCCTCTCCTACAAATCCGGGAAATACAGTACCGCCGCCGGTGCCTGCGGCGACCACGGCGCGAAAACTCACCGGAACATTTCCCTAATTACCTTCACGAAATCAAAATGATTAGAGATTCGATCTTAATGCCGGACTCCTGAGATGTGGATAGAAAAAGGTATCTTAGTTTTTATTCAAATCGATTTTGCCTTCTCTTTTTTCCCAAGAGAGGTCTAGTAGATTTTTTTTCTTCCTTTTGCAAATGGTTTAATAGAAATTTTGCTTCGTGACGTTCGTACCTGAACAGATAACACTGTAACTAAAATTATCATTTACTAAATTATTATTTATGATTTTGTTCTTCTGTAATCAAATGCTTTACCATCAGTTATTTTTTTCTTTTTTTTTTTTGAAATCTTAACTAAAATTCTAGACAGGGGTGATATAATTCAAACCTAGTTCTGACTTCAAAATAGTTGTAGATTTAGAGAGTGCATCTTGTTCTCTAGATGAGTGCTCTCCTATTCCAACTTCCTCAAAGTTTCCGATAGCACAACCATTAGAAAAAGAACGAATTACGAGTGTAGCATTAAATGAAAGTACTCTCGCAATAAATTTATTTTTAAAAAATTTATAATTATTCTCAAGTTACTCATAAATTTCTCGAAAAATCTGTATTTATTTCGATAAAAAGTAAATGATTGTCAACTATATAATATTGAGATGACTTTTCATGATCTAAAATGTTGAAGATATCAAATGATTATCCAAATTTTCTTTTTCAATTTTTATGAACGGGATTACAAAGGTGGGTCCCGCTATTTGAGTACATTCCTTCCATTTGATAAACATCATTAAAGGAAATCAAAATTTTCATTATGATTCATTGATTACAATTGCGGGTAAGTAAACGGGGTCTTAATTTCATGCTTTTTAGCTCATAATTTTACTTTTACCAACCCTTAACCATTAAAGCCAAATGTTATATCGAGTAGATAATATATACACATATATATAATTTAATAATATGTGGGGTGAGACCCACCTGAACATATGAGAGGAAGAGATTCGAATCTACTGACATTTTAATTAGATATAAGTGCTATAATTCATTGAACTATCAAATTGGTATGTGTTATCTACTTGAACCGTATAGAGATATTGAATCTGTTATTATATATCTAAGTTTTTGTAGAAAAGAAAAAAAAAAGATACGTACGAATCACAAATTGTAAATTAACCATGTCTAATTTAACGATTAAAACCCATTTCTCAAAGAAATAATAATAATAATAATAAAATAAAAACCTGAAAACCCGCGTTGGCTTGGCACGGTGAACCCGCAGCTGTGGTCAGTGATCGAGCCATAAACTCAGCTCCACTCTCGTCTTCAATCTTTCACAGACCTCGCCTTCTTCGCCGAAATGTCGAATCTGAGTCTCCTCCGGAAGGAATTTGGATCCCACTTCCTTTCTCGTGCGCCAAGGACAAGCCATGGCTTCCCTGTCTTCTTCCGGGAATCTCCTACAATTAGATTGTTCTCGACGGAAGCGGAACAACCACCTTCGGAACCGCCCGCCGATTCTTTCCTTGATACATCGAAAACAGGCATGAATCTCGTTCTATTCTCCTCGTCCTGAGTCCCGGCCATGTCCTCGAGTGTGATATCGGCAGAGGTTTAGGGTTTATACAGGGTGGTGGTTTAGAATTTTGGGAACACTTTTCTTTCTCGAGTATTTGAGTTTCTGGTAATAAGTCTTGGCTGAAAGTATTAAACGAGTTAGTTTCTGTATGTTTGATTCTATAAATTTGAATAATTTGGGTTTTGGTGAATGCACTAGTCATTGTAAAATCCTTTTGGTGTACTTTCTGCTATTCTTAGTATCATTAGGTAAGTGATTTATCGTCTGCTTTTATGTGGTGCAATGCGTTATGAGTTTTTTGTTATACTCTTCTCAGGTTTGGTTTATGGAAAATTGTATGGAATTACAAGGAATACACTAAAGACGGACATTGTCAATTTGCTTGAAGGATGTAATTTGGGTTTGGATGATGTCAAAGTTGATTACAATCGGAGTTTCACACCCACCTCTATGTAATATTCTTCCTTTTGGCATATTTTAGACATAGATGCGTTCAGTATTATGTTCTACTATTGTAATTATGGTTCAATCCCTACTGCATCGTGGAAACTAAAATGATCAAAGAATATCTAATGGCCCTTCTGAGCCTCTGAACATTTAAATATTAATGTAGTCCCTAACCCTGGGTTAATTAGCTTATGTGTTAATGTATTGAATGTGTTCACGTTGTACTTGTAATCTGTAAGGGTTGTATTGCTTCGGAGCAACTCGATCGAGTATTCTTATTTATTTAATAAAAGTCAGGAACATGTATTTGAGTAACACTGATGTTTGAGGTTGGTTTTCATTTAATTTTCATGGATGTTGTAAACAGGATGATGCAGTTCCCCTCCCGACAGGCTTATGATAATGCTATTCGAGTGATTGGGAGAAAAGGTCGCTTGTACAGATTGGAGCGGGTGATGTTTTGATTGATACATGTGCTAATAACAGATTTCTGCTTTAATTTGTTCTTTATGTTTTGGAAATCTATAACTTATATTTCTGAATTTCAGGCTGATCGTTCACAGTGGGACCTTCTTTCACCTTACAATGGAAAAACTGTAATGCTGATCTTTTTAATTATTATTATGAACTTATCATCCATTGAGAATCTCTTTTTTCAATCATATTTTTGTTTTGCCCTTGGCATCTTTGATGCAACACATTTTATTTTAGCTTTGTTTATCTAATATCATGTGATTGAATGACATGTTTTTCAAGGATCAAGCATACATATCATTATGTTCTCTGTTCTACTTCTGCGTAATGATTAATAGCAACTTATTCCTAATGTGCTCCAAATTTAAAACTGTTAATAGAGAACTACTTTGTCATGTTAAATTATTCAGAAGGGAGTAAAGAGAGTTAGATAAGGCTCATGTTGTAGGGATCTCGTTTTAGTAGCTTCCACATACCGTGAAACTGAAATAGCTGTTTCAACTTTGCTTAAGATCACTTGTAAAAAGTTCATAGTTCTTACCAACGAAAGAAGCATGTACTATCCGTTGGAACTTGAGACTTCAAGACCTGAAGACTGAGGATTGGCTACTTTCCTGGCCTTAGTTTTGCTATTTATGAAACCATATGCAACTTATCGTGTAGTCAATGGGTGGCTCTATTAAATATAAGCCTCTAATTTTTTTCTGCGAGATTCAATCTTCTTTGTAATATATTGTGCTCAGTGCTCTAGATGGAGAGAAACTGATAATATTAAGAACTTGTGCATTTGTAGGTCCTTCTGCAAGGACTTCCTCGAAATGCAATGCAAGAAGATGTAGAACGCTTCCTATCTGGCTGTAACTACGATGCAACCTCAATCAATATGTTTTTCAGGTAAAGATCAATTATTTTTTACCAAGTTTAGAATTGAATGTATTACTTGTTCAAATTCTGTGTCATGCATCATTTATATACTCCATTGCAGGGCATCAGTTCCAGAACCCATGAGAATGGCAACAGTGCTATTCCCTTCACCAACACAAGCAATGCATGCATTCCTTACAAAGAACAGAGGCTTTTGTCTGAACAACCAAATTTTGATGCGGGTTCTCCAATAATTAGTAACCGTTATCGACTGTATTCCGCTCATATTTTATGTTGGCTCAATGGCTGGGCATTTTGTGGTAGCCTTTTGACTTGCATCTCCATATCTTAAGCCTCCAGGTAGCAGTCACATTGATTTAAAGTGACCTGAAATCTTTCTTTTTCACAAAGTTAGCAGTTTGCTTGGGCTAAAGAACTGCATTTGTAAGGAAGGATATTTGGATCTTGAATTTTTATGAAAATAAGGTTGTTGAAGTATTTTGTTTTTTACTAGGTTGATTTTCGTGTCTCAAAACTCCTGTTTTGTTGTGGGACTGTCCCTTCAGCCAACAGAATCTGGGAAATTTTCGAGTACTATGGAAAATTTTGTATAGTTCCATTCATCATCTGCGATATCAGTAACATTTAAGAATGACGTGGGAATCATAAAAGAAGATAAAATATTAATTGATGATGTGTTTAGAGAATAGCTACTACTGTAGCAACTTAAATTTTTCCATGCAGTCCTTAGGATTTGATCACATCCAAATGCCTGAGCATGGAGCTTCTGTTTGTTTAAACATTCATTGTTCAGAAGAGGGATTCCAGAGGTGGGAAAAAGAGAGAAAATTTTGGATTCTAATCAAAACTATAAAAAGTGAGTCAATACTCTTTAGGATAATAGGTTCTCTGCGATTGTCTACTTTCTTTAGAACTATAATTTGTAGTCCTTTTAGAACATGATGTAAATGTGGAGTGGAGGTTTAAATTTGGTAGGAAAAAAAAAACTTAAATCCATGTCAGTTCAATTTAATTAAAGTAATAATTTAGTTGATTTAGTTATTGTACTTTCAAATTGATAACAATTTAGCTGTAACAATTTAGTCCATAGTTCCTATGGTGAAAAATTTTGTTAGACTTATAAAGGAACAAAATGTGTTTATAAATTACAAAAACTAAATACCGACATGAATTTAGTTCAATGATAGAGTTTAGGTCATGAGTTCTAATTCCAACAATGTTGTACTAAAAAAAATAATAAAAACTACAAAGACTAAATGTTATATGATAAAAATCGACACTTAATTCTAATGAGATTTTTCACGATAGAAATTAAATTATAAAAAAACTTTAAACTATAAGAACTAAATTATTACCTATTAAAGATTAGAGGTTAAATTGTTACCAATTTAAAAATAAGGTACTAACTTGTTACAAACTAAAGTTATTCAATAAAATTATGGACCAATAAATTCTTTACTAGGAAAAAGAAATGTTGTATCAAAATGTTTCATGTAAAACATCAAAGTCGTCCTCTTCAGGAGGACAGCCTACACATCTCATGTGTTTCACTATGCCATCCATAAGACCAAAAATTTCAACCATTAGAGGGTTTGACTTATCTTCTGCTTTAAATCTATAAACTCTATTCTGAATCTCAATCCAGCTATAACCAGGAGCAGTCTTCAGCCCTCTCTCTTTCATCATCTTCCTCAATCTTGCAGCATCATCCAACTGCCCTGCTCTTGCATACAGATTAGCCAACTGCAAGTGCGTCGACGCGCAGTCGGGTTGCAGCAACAATCTACTCTCTGCAGCCTGGATTCCTATCCAGACATTCCCATGAAGCCTGCAAGCAGAGAGAAGCGATCCCCAAATGATTGAATTCGGAGATATGGGCATGTTCTCAATGAAGTTCTGAGCCTCTGTCAGCAGCCCCGCTCGACCAAACAGATCAATAACACACGAATAATGATCCAAGTCTGGTTTAAAACCGAGCTCGAGCATTAGATTGAAGTAACATCTGCCCTCTTCCACAAGCCCAGCATGCCTACAAGAGGACAGGACACCGAGGAAAGTGATCGCATCGGCTTTGACTTGCTGCTGCTTCCCCATTGCTTTGAAAAGATCAATGGCTTGCAGAGAGAGTCCATGCTGGGCATAACCTGCAATCATGGAGTTCCAGGAAACAGTGTCTTTCACTTCCATGGCTTCAAATATGTATAATGCAAAGTTAAGAGCTCCAGATTTACAATACATTGAGATCAGAGCATTTGCAATATGGACATGAGAATCAAAGCCCATTTTGATTGTTTGGCAATGAAAACTTCTCCCTACTCCAAGAGCTCCACTGCCAGGGTAAGCGCTCAATATGGTGGCAAAAGTAAACTCATTGGGTCGCAATTCCATTCTTCTCATCTGTTGGAAGAGCTCCAAGCACATACCAATCTGCCATTCTTGAGCAAACCCAGCAATAATGGCTGTCCATGACACAATATTTCTCACAGGCATTTCTTCAAACACCTTATATGCGTTATTCAACTCCCCGCACTTCCCATACAAACTTATCAGTGAACTTCCTATATACACATTGGGGATAAACCCAGTCCGTATCGCCACAGAATGGTATTGAATTCCACCGCGGAGATTACGCTGAGAACTGCACGAACTCACAACGCTGGATATATCGTTCGCATCGAATTTAAATCTTCCAGCGCGCAAATGAAGATCCCAATGACTCGATTCAAGTTCTTGATCAAAAACACAGGAGGAATCCTTAGATGAAACGAATGGAGGAGCAACGAAACCGTGGGAGAGGGTTTGGGGTCGACATTTATCCGTATCTGTTCGTAAAAAGTCCTGTATGAGCCGAAGATGGGTTTGGCGACTTTTAGAGGCGACATTTCCCTTCGGAGAAATGAGCTCCAAAAGTTTCGGAGGTTTGGGTAAGTTCTTGGTTGGATGGGTCTTGGGTTTGTAGTATGAGAGGAGCCTAATGGAGGCTACTATGTGGAAGCCATGTCCATGAAGAAGTGCAGAATTTTGAGGCTCTGCGAAGAGCATATGAAGAAGACGAACTGTCATTACATGTAACAGCCCATAAGGCTGTTGGCATTAATTTTGAGGCTATTGATATTGGCAATATCAAATATCATAGGAAACGTGACTATTATGTCAATTAATTTTAAAATTTTCAATTAAATTAAGTCTTTCCTCCTCACTGATAACCTCCTTTAATCATCGTTTGGGAAGGAGATTTGAACTCACTAACTTCTTGGTTATAAATCAATCCATGGTATGTCTCCTGCTCCTACAATCGTTGACCTTAGAAAAAAATTATTTAATGAAGATAAATGCTCAATTGGTTAAGACCCTAAGCGATATTTAATTTTTGAAATTTGTAAATACATGTCATTCATGTAATTGCAAAAATTAGAATATCCAAGTTTTGCAAAGAGCCTGTGAAGAAGACGAATCGAGCGCATAAATATCACACATAAAAGGAGGGGCGAGGGAAAGCTTCTAGTTCTAGGCGCTGCTATGAAATATCATAGGAAACATGAGTATTATGTCAATTAATTTTCAGTCTTTCAATTAAAATTAAGTCTTTCTCTATTACTGATAACATCATTTAACAAGCGTAACCAAATCCGAGCTTAACTCAATGATCAACAGTACGTTTCATTTCGATAAGGTAGTGATGACATTCAATTTTTACTAAATAATTTAACAACAAATTGAACGAATTTAAGAGAACAACCATGTCATTGTTCGATTACTTGTCCCGTCAATCTAGTGTGATCTAGCATTAAAGAGATTGATTAAGCAAGTAATTGTTCAAAGTTTTGTATCCGTAAAGGAGGAGCTTTGGCATATATAGAGGACCTCACCGTTTAAGTAGTACCTGCCCACGACCTTTTTATTCAAAAGATCGCTATACTTGGGTGGGATTTTACATTTTATACAAAATTAGATTTCATTTAAAATCTTAAGAAACAGTACCAACTAAAACTATGAACAAGATTACCCATTATAACTGTGCTCAAAGCCATCCATGAACAAGGAGTACTAAAACAGTTAGCTCCACTTCCACCCTTTTACTAAACAAAATAGGACTGAATTTCTTCATAGTCCCAATCAATGATAGAAACTAATTTTCCTTGGCCATTTGCTTATGTGTCAATGAAAAGGAAAAGAAGAAAAACAGAGAACCTGGGGTTTCCTTGATCCCACATTCCTTCAGGCTGCAGGCTCTGTTGGTAATACCACTTCATTTGGCAAACTCTTTTTCCTCCTGCCTTCAATTTCTTTGGGATTGCGTCCTCTGTTCCCAGTCTTGTTTTTCCTAGATTTATGAGCCTTCCTACTTCTCTTAAGAGTCTTCAGTGCCAATGCTTTCAGTGGAACTGTAACATCCATGGGCAAAAGCACCTGTTCCAGGGAACGCCAATCGAGATCTTCAAAATCTCCATCTTCATACTCCACTCTGTACCATCCTGTGCCTTTGTCGAACTCAGTTATGACGCCATAGTAATACCGATCACCAAACATTTTGTTTATAACCCTCCCTTCTAACCACTCACCAAAACCAGTGCTTCCAAGTAATTTTTCATCATTCAGAGAATTACAAAGAGTAAGAGCAGTGTCACAAGCAGGTATATCAGGCACCCCATTAATTACTATAGCAGGCTCTCCAGGTAGTTCGTAGACATTGGAAAATGAAGGCTCAGAATCCTCTTCTTTTTTGGGGATCTCCATTTAAACAGAGCCTTTATTTCAAGCTTGCAGCAAACGCACTGTCATATGAAAAAATAACAGTTTCTGGTTACTAAAAAGGGTATATAACCAAAATTGGTATTTTGTTGATCCGATTGTTAGAATGTCAGAACTCGAGCAAACAGTGAAAGTGAATCAAGCAAAATAACATGGGGCAGAAAAAGAGAGCAGATAGTCCATTGTCAATTGGGATTCCCTCTATTTTCATACAGAAATAAATCACTAGCACAAGAGAATGAAAAACCACGACTCCTGAGAAATGTGCTTTTGTTAGTTTGTTTGTTAAGAGCATTTGCTAATTATACTATGTTCTATAAATATGTGAATCCCACTTTAGCTCAATTAGTACTTCAAATCCAAAGATAACATTACACATCAATAGGTCAGTGTGAGCTCCTACCCAAGTCTTTTGCAAGAGAAGTAAAAGAAATTAATACATTATACAGGAAGTAATGAACAAAAACCAAAGGTTACAGGGAAAAAATAGAACACTAGAAGATCAAAATTCACTCGAAGTTTTATCTCCTTCAAGACCAGCCTTTCATTTTCCACTTCTGGGTTATAAATGCCTACATACATACTATGTATAAATCCCTGAATCCAACATATATACACACACACATGTCAGGGATGCATAAGAAATTTCTGCTTCTTTTACTATATACATTGCTTTATAGTAGCTCAAAGATGGAAATAACACTGAACTTAACAAATTAGGTTCTCTACACAAAAAGCAAAACTTGTCAATCAAATTAGATGGATGAAGAATTGTGCTCATAAGCTTTCTCTACATCCAGAATAAATTCAAATAAGAATTATACATAGTCCCACAGTCCATTTGGTTCAAAAGTCACCAAATATCAGCCGGTCACCGTATGCCCAAAGAAGTATGCCGTGTGCCTTCTTCTCAAGTTTCAGAGGCAGAATCAGAATTCAAAAGCTTGTGACATTTGAAACACGAAACAAACAAAGAGTATTTTGGCAGTAAGCGAGAGAAACCGGCGGAAAGATGCTTAAAAACATACAATTAAGCCGCAAATTTCCTATTTATTTTCATCTTTCTTTCACTTCAACTCCTATGAAACAATCACAGACCCAAACCAAACAAAACCAGTATTAAATGCCTCTAAAGCACCTTTCGCAAGCAATATGGGGGCAAAGAAAGCCCTTTCCAACTATGGAAACTATAGCTCCATGTGCATAGCTGAGAGATTCTTCCATTTCAGATCAGTATTTTGCTAGGTCAAAACCCTCGATTAATTATACAAAAATCCATCATTTCGATTTACAGGTGAAATTATTCCTCTGGTAAAATTCAGACTGGACTCAGTATAAATTATTACTCAATTCGTAAGATGAATTCCCTAAAACACACCTGTAAAAGTTCAATGACGATCACCAGTTGCTCGAACTCTTCTCATCATCGTCTTCTGCAAAGAAAGAACGGTTATACATAAATTCTGGATTTTCTACGGAGCATTTTTTATTTTTCGCGTATTTTATGAAGACGGAATTACGAAAATAATTTATCATACTTAAGCACCTTATTTTTAAATTTATAAAATTGACAAAATACAAAATTAAAACTTTTTTTTTTAGGAATGAAATTAAAACATATTTTAAAAAATTAAACAATATATTTATATATTTTATTCCTTCATCAACATCCCACACTATTTTAAATGAACATTCTTCCCTATATTTAAGGTCAAGTCTGGTAAGAATTTTTGCTATTTATATTAGTGGTATAGTAATTTAAAAAGTCAATAAATATATATATATATATATATATATATATATATATCATTAACGTATTTAAGCTCAATTTTGACAAATTAAATTTAAATTATTGATTAAACTACCGACCATATTTATGGTGGAAGATAAAATCTTTTAAATTCAAGCTTGAACTTAACTATTCATGAAATACGATATATGACTCAATACAATCTCGACTCTATAAGATTTGGTGGAACCTCTTAACTTGCTACTGTAGCCACTTGAGCAAGACTTAATTCTTTTGAAGTCATCGTTTCTTTGTAGAATTTTTATTAAAGACCGGTAGAAATTTTTTTGTGGTTTAGAGAATCTCGAAATCTTTCATCCATCTAGTTTCCTTGTTGGAAACGACATGAGACCATGAAAGTGGGGTGAAATGAAACCTGTCTTAAGATGACTTTAAATTTATTGATATGAAAATTAAAAAATTAAAATAAAATTTAGCACTAATTTATATTGTTTGTTAATGAAATCATGTATATGAATCCATTTCTTGAAGAAAGGACTTTGAGAGTGGATTCGTCGAGTGCAATGCAAGCCATTTTGGGACAGTAAAAAACATAATGACAATAATGTTCAATTGTTGCATTTTTTTTTAATTTTAATATTTTTGGAAGTTCTCATAATTGGGGATGATAATTACTACATATACCCTACCAAAGACATGCCTTCAAACTTCAAAGTTCAAAGCATGCCACTGTCACTTTTAGTTCTGATGATTTTTTTTAGTACACATTTCTAAAATGATGGACAAAAAATTAACTCTTTACATTTTTAATACAAAGATAAATCTTAGAAATGATTATGAACCAAACATGCAACTTTCATAAAATATAGCCATAAGTTCTGGGTGAAAGGGTTACAATAATTTTGTTCACAAGTTCTTAATTTTTAAAAGAAGAATAGTTGAGTCGTTTGAAAAATAGGTGATAGCAAACAAAGAATAATATAGAACAAGTTTTGAAAGATGGTTAACATGAACACTTAATTATAAATACTACAAATATTAAATCGTTACATAATAAAAATCAACGCTTAATCGTTACATAAACTATAAATACTAAATCCAATTAATGAGATTATGAGACTAAATTTTTACAAACTTCAAAGCATAGAGACTCAATTATTACATATTAAAATTTAGAGACGAAATCGTTATAAACTAAAATTCATGATTGAATCATTACTTAAATAAAAGTACAAGAATAAAAAAAATATTTTTTACTTCTTTTAAATTTAAATATGTGAATGTGGAAATTATAACAAAATATGTGTTTTGACCATGGCAATCGTTCCAAAATTTGCAATATTCCCTAAATTTGAAATTTGAATTTGTAAGACAGACATTTAAGAGACGTAGGAATAAATGGGAGGTGAGGGAAGGAAGGAGACAAATTCAGGGACCTCACGTGACAGTGAACCGCCAGGGGGAGAGCTATTTTTTAACACCATTCACCTCCGTGATTTATTTATTAACACAATATATTTTTTTTTCTTTTTTGTGCAAAATATAATTTGAAAATGGTCTCATTGAATATTAGATATCTTGCACTGACAGATGGGAAAATATTTTTCAAAATGGTTTTGTATTCAAATTTCAAACCATTGGTTCAAATAGTTTTAGTCATTTTTATATGGTTATCTTTTCGTAGGTCGACGAGAATTCAAATACCTGATCCTTTGATTGAAAATTTATGCATTAACCAATTAAATTAGGTTTAAGTTAACAATATTTATATAATTGTTGTAGTATCTGGTATGTTATTTTAATAAAAATGAAAGTTTTATTTTATTTTAATGTATTTGTTGAAACATTTTAAATGATATTTTCAATAGTCATTTAATATTTCTATATTAAAAAAAATTTGTCTACTCACAATTTCATGGTTTTGTAATTCATATCTAAAAGCATTTTTAGAATCCAATCAAATGTAAAAAACGAAAAAACAAAAAACTTATATTCTCATTAAATTTTGACAGGAATTCAAAAGTATTTTAAATAAGGTGAAAAATAAAATAAAGAAATTATGAGCAAACCAGGTTAACTCTTAAAACACAAACACAAAGCAAAATATGGCTAATTAGAAAAATAAAATCATATCCAATCTAACAAACTTCATAATAAGGGTTTGATTAAATAATCATAGCTTATGTTAAGTTTTTGCTTCACAAGAAATCCAAAAAGTTAGTGCAAACAGTAAAGTTAGAATTGTTTTAGAAATTATGTTTTACTTCAACCACCAAAACTTTTGTTTTAAAAAGCAAACAAATTCCTTCCATGATCATGTTTAGCAAATTTATGGTTGGGTCAGGAATTGCATGGGCATTAAAGTGCACAATAATAAATAAAGGGTTAAATTTTTGGGAATTGGAAAGGATGAACAACTGTCACAAAGGCAGTGGGTTTGAGTTCTTATAAAGACAGAGGCCAAGGCTGTGGGTTTTTCTGACACTGATTACAGCATCTTTGGCTTTGAACCAACACAGAATCTCCACTCAAAGAACAGGACAAGTAATTCAAATTTCCTAATTCCCTTCTCTCTCCCCAGATTTCCATTTCATTTATTTGTGCTATTGAGCTCACAAACTGATTTGATGGTAAAAGTAGCAGATTGCTGAAGTTTCTGCACTAACAGGCAAAGAAGATGATGAGTAATTGCAAGGAAGACAGACCCTGGAGGTGGGTTCTCTCTCTCTCACTCTTTCTTTGTGGTTCAGAATGTTCAGATGGATATAATTATTGACATTGAAATGGATTTGCTTGCAGTGGAAAGAAAATGGAAGGAGGGGAGGGTTTGATAACTTTAGACTGCTTAAGAGGAAGATTACTTGCAGAGAGACAAGCTTCAAGGTCAGCCAAAGAGGAGGCAGAGTTCATGGGGAAGAAGGTAAAGTGCCATGGAAATGGAAATGGACATGGACATTTTCTTCATCACAGAACAGTTCACATTCGGCAGTTACGCTTCCTTCTACCTTTTTATTCAAAGTTTTTTATGTTTTTGTGAAGATGATAGAGTTGGAGAATCAGATTAGAAAGGAGACAGAGCTAAGGAACAAAGCTGAGAAGAGGCTTAAACTCTTGATAAAGAAGCTTGAATCCCTCAACATTGCTTCAATATCAGTGATCTCAGAGAACTCAACTTCATCAGAAATTTCCACAAACTCTTCAGCCACAAAAGAAACAGAAGATCAAGAATCGAGATCAGAAGAAAATCAAAGCGAGAAAGCTGTTCCAGATATCGCCGCACCAAAACAGCGCGATGAGGATAAAACTAATCAGAATGCTCCAGATCAAACCAATTCAAGCCCTAACACCGAATCTCCCAACAATTCCTGCACCGATCCCCACCGATACTCTCAAATCTCCCGGAGCAGAGATCAAAGGTACCAAAATTCCCTCCCAAACTCGCAGAACTTTACCATCTACACAAGAATTAACCTAAGCTCGGGCCTAATTGAGATTACGGTTTCGTAATTGTTTCAAGTTTTTCAGTAGAATTAAAGGAGAGAGAGAAGGAGCATTACATAGATAATCCGGTAGCGTCGGTCCCCGGAGCGGTGCCGGCGGCGAGTAGAGAGAGCAGAGCGATGAAGCCGACGGCAATAATCCAAGAAAGAGCGAGAGATGTTCACGATGGTGTGAAGCACGTCAGAGGAAATGTCCAAAGCTCATTCGAGAGAAGAAATCACATGAAAGCCATAATGAGTATGTAAAATTTATTCAATTTTTAATTTAAAATACATAAGACATTTATACATTCTGATTTTGTAATTAGTTTCTGGTATTTTTTATATATAATAATTTGAACATTTGCGAGAGGAGAGAGAGACCCAAATCCAAGTCCTAACGATATATACCAATTAAGAATTCGTTTTGGCATTCGAACTTAATTTTTTATTCCCATTTTAGACTTAAATAATGGAGACTCTGATGAAAATTTGGTATATTTATTTGATAAACTGGAACTAATTTTGTGTATTGATTTGCTATGACTCATTTTTCTTTAAAATTAATAGATTTTTATGTTGTTTTTTTGTTAAATTATTATTTTATTTTTTTAAGGTCAACAACACGTAGAAAAGAGTTCAAACCAACTTCTAACTTTTTGGTTTAGAATATATGCCTTAACTAGAGCTTTATATAGATTGACCCGTTAAATTAGTTATGGAACATAACAAAAAGATTAAAAAAATCGACAACCGAGAACATAACGACATGACATTGATGAGGTCTCAATTTTTAGATGATACGATAATAATTATTAATTTTAATTTACATTACAATTTTTTCTTTTGATTCCAAAGATGTTTTAGAACTATTTTCTAGAAGTTGAATATCGAACTATCAATTTTTAAAATTTAGAGACCAAATAATAATGTATCATCAAATTTCTCAAGGCAGGAGAGAGACTCTAGAACTAAAACTGGCTTTTATGGGGAAAAGAAAACCCTTTAAAACTGCTTTTTTTTTGTTTGCTTTTTTCCTTTCAAGGATGACAAAAGACGTTCCCAACTTCCCACAGTAAAAATGGCACGTGAATTTAACAACCCGATGTACCATTTATCTTATCGACAAGATGCAAGCCCGTGACGTGACAGCCATTTATCTAATTGTTAATAAATTTCTTTATTTTGATTTTTTAGTTTTTAAAAATAATTTATAAATCTAACTTTAAGAGGTTGATAAGAAGGATTTAAACTTGAGCTTTATAGTTTTGTGGTCAAAGTTAGATGTCAAAACACCATTTTTGAATAATTAATACGAAGATTAAATAACATTTCTCCTAGCAAATTAATCTCTACCTTCTAAGGAGATAAGTACCATCAAACCTCCTTACCTTTTGAGTTAAACTTTTGTCTAATTTTTAGTTTAAATCTTCGACTTTTAAAATCTTAATACAAGTCTTATGGTTTTATTAAAATGCAACATTCATTCACCATACCATGCAAGATAAGCAGACACTAAAAATGAAACTTGACATAAATTTAATGCCTAAAATTAATGTTTCAAAAGCTGGACCATAATGACATAAAATATGACTAAGATCAGAGTCCTCAAAAGTTTATGCTCAAACCATTTTGTTTTTTTTTTTTTGGTTTTCCTTTTTGACAAATAAGCAAGCTTATAAATGACACTTTCAGTGGTTTGTCTACCAGTTAAAAGTTTAGAATTAAGGAGACATTCATTTCATTTTTAGTTTTATATTTCTCAAAATTACGCCTATTTTTATACAAATGCATTAGTAAGATTTTCTTTACTCTTAAAAACATATTTGACTTCTTCGTCAAATTTTGAAAACAAAAACTACTTTTTGAAAAATATTTTTTCTAGTTATAAAAATTTGACCTAAAATTTGAAAATGTTTATATATATATATATATATATATATATATATATATATATTTTTTTTTTTTTATTTTGTACAATCTTAATTTTTAAAGCTTAATTTTTAAAAACAAAAAACAAAATTGTTATCTATTACAAAAACAAAAGATTATCAAATTGGACCTTAAAAAAAAAGTCCAAAAACTTGTTTATATCTAAGAATTTAAATGTGTTCTTGAAGAAAATGAACCACCAAAAAACTAAAGAAAACTGCAGAAGAAATTATTATTAAATGAAGCCCGAGGAATCAAACTAGAAAATGAACGTACGTTCGACAGCCAAAACCATATTTCGACCTATCTAATATAGCCAAAACTCATACCAACAAATGCAAGAGGCAAGAAAATTCTGCTATAATGATACTTCAAAAGGAAAAGAAAGAGGGAAGCATCAAGGATGAAGAAATAAGCAGAATATGAAATAGAGGAGATCTCACAAACACAAACGTACCAGGACCGATGTTCCCCTTCAGCCAAGTTTGAGCAGCGTGCCCAACAACATAACCAATCATAAGATATGATTCCTAAACATGCAGCAAATAAGATCATCCAATTACAAGGACCTACAATTTGTTATCTTAAGATTCTTTCAATTGTTACTTCTTCTGGTAATCATGAGACAACGAATTATCTACGCAATAATACATTGGCACAAGCAAGGAGAAAAAATAGATATCACCAAAAGAAACTTTGATCAAATTATCGATTCCCTCATATAACTGTTGCGGTCCTTCCATACCCATTACATCCGACCAAAAAATCCAAGAGAAATACATGTAGCAACTAGCTAACTATGAAGTGAAAGATAAAGGGAAATAAAGAAACAACAAAAACTTCACAGGAAAACCTATTTGCAGAGGAGTACAATCCATTCTCAGCTACAAACTTCATTACATGCAGAGACCTAGAGAGCCAACAAAATACCTCCAAAGGGTTAGCCTATCCTATAGGTTACCGTAGAAGAATATCAGAAACTCCTAAGTTAGAAGAGAGAATTCAGCTTCTCCCACACGACCACCACTTACCGTTGTGATTAATATTTTCTTTCCCTCCCAAGATTTATCTTCAGTTTATTCTCACACAAGTTGGAGCTATTATCTCATGATGACATTTTGAAACGGCAGCTCTAAATAACATTCAACACATGACCAGTCTAATCAAAGTATTCTGGCAGGTTATAGAAAAAGTAGGCGTCTAAACAATGTAGTAGTCAATTCAATGATGAGTAATTATAAGTGAAGCCATGAGATGAGCTGCCATCATACAAAGAGACCAAACCTCAATCATAAATAATCAGATAATAGCTAGCTGTGCTCAAATTCTGGATCTGTCTCTGAAAAAGCAAAAGATATACATGCAAGTTTCCTTAGATCGAGAGTTGGCCATTAATCCTACATTACTACAGACAGTCAGCCACATGAAAAACCTAACATTAAAAAGGAACAATAACCTAAAAATCCAAACCCAATTTATAGTTAGAAAACAAAAAACCTAATGATGTTAACTTGAGAAGAGAATGATGCATTAACCTTCCTAATCCTTAAGGCCAATTTGACCAATTAGTAAATTTTAACCAGTCAGTGGTCAGATGGTACCAATTCACATAGAAAACTTAGCACTGCCGTTCAAATGATATCATGAGCATCCAACTTGTCGTCACAAAGGAGATATAAACCTAAGATGATAAACAAAATGTTGGAGGGCTAAAAACTTCAGAAATTTCTGATATTCTTAATAAACTTTGAGAAAGGCTTGACCTATGGAGGTATTTGCTATTACTATAACACCTAACCAGAGAATTAATATCCTGACACATCTGAATCTAGGGGATCTCGTCTCACAGCGACACCTAGTACAGCATCTTGCGGCTCGCAGTATTTAATCTGCCCCCAGAATGGAAGACTTTTATGCTACATAATCATATAAAGGGAATGCACATGGGTATGGAAGCCATTACGGGGAACCTAACCAGGATACAGGACCTGCCATAAAAAGAAACCAATTATCAGATTGAATAATGCAGGTATAACAAAAAAACATAATAAATTTGGATAACACGTAAATTATGTAGGCTGAATGCCAATCAGACTAATAAAAACACAAACCACCAAAAAAAGTTTACAAGCAAAAGCTATCTTGCCATCAAAAGGGAATGTTCTTTTCAGGCGTCACCTCCACCCTTCCCTGTAACATCTGCAATCTGGTTACAAGCAATGAGAATTGTCAATGGGAGCAAGGGCACTGGTGACAACCACACGCTACTGTTTCCTACTAGATAGCAAAATAAACTTATAAGGATAACATTACCGTCTCGATGCTTCCTTTCCCATCTACTTGTACGAGAGAGTTTGATGTTGGATTAGAAAATCTTCACCCAAAAATAAAGTGAAAAAAAAACAATAAATTAGGTGCATTCTAATGTTATTACACTCCATACATGATCTCCATGAACCATAAATGATAGAACTGGAAGCATTAAGCCCTTGCTTGAGCCCAGTACCTGATTGCCCTTGCTTTCCTCTTTTCTTCCTCCTGGGAGTCTGGCTTTGATGTTGATGAAAACCTAGCAAGACGAGCTTTCTTCTTTGCCTCATAATCAGTAGTCACAGATGCAGGAAGCCCAAATCTAAACAACCAAAAATATTAGCAAAAGTTTAAAGAAAAAATGACCGAGTAAAAGTCAATAAATACAATTTCTTAAACTGGGGGAGCCATCAATCCATTAAGACATGGAAAATACCTCTCAGCTCTAGCCTTCCTCTTCACCTCTTCTGACTTGTTCGATGCTCCCAATCCATTCGTTGTGGCACCCATACCAAACCTGAAATTGTCCCCAGCAACAAACATCAAAGATATTTCGCAGAAAAATAAAAGACAAAGAGAACTTGGAAAAAAGAAAGGAAAAGGTAATATTATAGTTATAAAAATGGAATAAAGGTTATGCCAATATAAGCCCAAAAAATGAACTACTTCCACACAACATCCCGATTTTTCACAAATCTTCTAAGATTTTGTGCAGTTCTTTCCAATTTTCGCACAACCATTGACAAGACAAGAGCGTGAGGCTCTAAAATTTAAAGAAGGGCCACAGTGTAACTGCTCCGGGCACGGAGAGGCACAATTAGGGAGGCACCAAGACGGATGTAAAGAGCATGACAAAAGTTTCCAAAATTCACTTGAGAAGGCAAGAGAGAGAGGCTGAAACTTTCCTCATTGTTTTTACAAAAATATAATATAACATTGAATTAGTGACATTTTATTTCTATCAATAAGCCACTGCAATCATTTTGAATTTCAAATTTACACCAGTCCGAGTAGAAACTCAAGCCATTACCAGAATATGAACAATTAGACAGGGCAACATGTTTTTAGATAAGAGACAATAGATATATAATGATACAGGGTTGATATGCTCCAGAAATCATAATCTCCAAGTTACAATCGTACCCGTAACTGCATAAGCTAACCATCGGAACTAACCTATAACGGGGGATATATGAATTTTTTAGTTTGTTAAACTTAAAATGCGCTACTCAGGCAGCTCATCTGCTTCGTGAGTACTGTCTAGACATATAGAATCTATTCATCCTCGTGCACAGTAGCGCAATATTTATACTACTGACTCATCGCTAAGTTTGTCCGTAAAAAGAAGAAATATACAGTTTCGAAGTAATCAGTGGGAAATAACAATAAAGAAAGGCATGGTCTCCCAAGAGAAATGGATTCAAATACTCAACACAAAGATGCAAGAACAGTCATAGATAGTTACCGTTCCGCTCGAGAATTACGCTTCTCTTCTTCAGACAACTGAACAGAGATCCCAAAACGCTCGGCACGGCGCATCTTCCTCTGGGTGTCAGAAACCGGTGCACCATCCCCTTCAAGCGACGCCTTACCGGAGCCCTTAGATTCCTCCATTTCCTTCGAAGATCCGCCATCGGTTGACGAAGGCTGAACGGCGGTAGGAGGATTGTTGGAGGAAGAAATGGTTGTGTCTAGGGTTTGACTAGGGTTTTCTCCAAGCGGATTCTTGCTATTACTAATGTCATTGAGTCCCGCAGAAGCCACCGTCGCCATTGGAGGAGCAGATTTGAGACTCGAAACCTAATCGGAGACTGCTTACGAACCACGAACGCTACGGAGAATTGCCTCGTGAAAGATAGGGCACAAGTTCTGTTCGGATTTCGGTCTGGTCAGATATTTCATGTCGCCGAGAGGTAGGGCGGGGTCAAGAATGTAAATTCGCATGAGAATTAGAACGAGGGATATGTCCCATCTTATGCCCACGTGTTGGCTATTCATTGGCCTAAGAAAGTTTGATCTATAATCTCTCAATTTCACCACGTCACATCATGCGATCAACCGACTTTTTCTCCGTAAATTAAAATGTTCAGAACATTATAGATTTAAAAAATATGTTAAATTGTACTAATAATATATATATATACGTGTGTGTGAAATTATAAATTTGGTTAGCATCAATTTAATATGTTTTCAATAATTGTCCATTCGAACTTATTAACTTAATTCAATTGGTTAGTTTGTTAGTTAATTTGTTAATATAGTTTGGACCACCACATGTTATGTTATGTTTAAAGAAACAAAAATCTACTGTAATACTTCCACATATTATTATATTAAAAAAATGATTCCCATAATTCTATTTTTTTATTACATAGCAAAAAGAAGAAAAAAAATAACCTTCATAGTTAAAAGGTAATTTTAATTTAACCTCTGTAATTTTAGTTAAATTGACTAAATACTTGACCTCACCTTATTTTTTTATTTTTGGTTAAAATACTCCTTTGGTCTATGTATTGGTAAGTTGGATTCATTTTGATCCATATATTTTAAAAATGTTCATTTTAATCACTTTTGGTCTCTACTGTTGATCTACGGTTAAATAAGTAACAGATTGATGAGTTGTCATTCTTTTTAAATAGTATTTTTTTTTCTTCTCCCCTTCAAATCGCAGTCTTCAACCATTTCGAGATCAATCCTAACCTATCTACCATCACTATTTCTTCTTCCTCCATCTAACCCTAACTCACAAAAAGAAAGAAGAGTAAATATATTCTCAAATTCAACGGGACAATAAAAAATATATTTTACCTCAAAATTATATTGAGTGAGAAATTGACGTACCCTATGAATTAAATCGACGTGTCGACAAGACAGAAGGGCACATCCTGTAAAAGAAGAAATCCGACATGTCGGACCAGTTGACGGGTTTCTATAATTCAGCATCATGTGGAAATGATTGGAACTCCGAAAACAATGGATAAGATATAGTGAGGCCTCAGTCTCTGGTGCTCGAAGAGGTGGAAATGGCTTCAATCATCCACAACGCCATTCAAATTTCTTCGAAGCCCGACTCTCCATGGCCCAAGGTTTCATCACAGCTTCACTTTCAACCTCGAACATGGATTGAATTCGTCCACAATCACATTCCTCGGTTTTCCCCAGGTTGAACCCTTCTCTTTTTTTTCTCTCTCTCTCTCTATAGTGAAGATCTGCGTTAATCTCATCGAGTATGTATGAATTCGTATTTTTAGTTGTCCTCAATTGCCATCGTGCTCCGCGCTCTCTGATTCGATGCGGCAGTCGAATCGAGAAGGAAGGGGATCCATCTACAGCAGGTCAGTGAGAGTTTCATCTCATCAGTTTTTCAAGATTAATGGAGATTTTCGTATTCTTTTGTTTTAATTAGACATGTATGGTAGTGAGACCTTTTCCATTCGTGGTTACTTGTTCGTCATATGGTAACAGTGAGACGAATTTGCAGAAGCCAATAGGTCCCAATCATCTGGCGAGAAAGAATATAATAGAACTTATTCCGTTTCAGGAACGACTGAGGGGTTCGAAAGTAAAGTTTCTTCTGTTAGAAATGTTGCTTTATGTGTAAGCACTTGCTGATATTTAATTTGTGCATACAATCGAATAGTTTGGCTGTTAGTTAATTCATTTGCTATTGTTCATTCTCTGTTATAGGTTGCTACTGCAGTGGCATTTGGCATCGGGCTGGGTTTGAAAGATGGACCTGGCAAAGCATCAGAGTTTTATGCTGGGTCTGTCGCGTGTTGCATTTTATAGTTCTATTTCATCTAAATAAACAATTTATTTTGTTGTCTGTCCTTTTCTTATGTCGAGTTGTCGATACGATGATAAATTGGAAATTGCATAAATGCGATAATTTAGCACCATATTTTAGTTTCTACATTTATTCTTGTTGTGGAGATTTGGAAGATGCCTCAGCCCATATTTGTATGAATAACAACGCTTCACTTTACTAGCTTATTATTACTAATGCCTGATTTTTATGACATTTTTCAGGTATCTTCTGGAGCAAAGTTTGTCAGTTGACAATCTTTTTGTCTTTGTTTTGATTTTCAAGTACTTCAAAGTGCCAATCGAGTATCAGGTGCTAACTTAGAGCAAAGCTAGAATGAAATTGCTACTTAACACGCAAACTATGAATATTATTTTTCTTTACAGCATAATTTTTATTTCTATGCATGTTGGTGATCTGTTGGTTTGGAAATATAGAATCGGGTGCTTACTTATGGAATTTCTGGTGCAATTGTCTTTCGTCTAACAATCATACTTCTGGGAACAGCCACCCTGCAGGTAATTTTCTCTTCTTGTGATATTCCACTCTGCTCAAATGGTCTATCTGAGACTTGTATCTATTGTACTGTTTTCAGAGATTTGAGGCAGTAAACCTGCTTCTGGCTGCTATACTTCTATACTCATCATTTCAGGTTAGTTATTGTAGGCTTTTATTTTTAATTTTTTTATCTTTTCTCCTCGTGCGATCAATTATGAGGCCTTTTAGCTTAAATGTATCATGACTTCTGCAGCTATTTGGCAGTGAAGAAGAAGATGACACTGACCTATCAGACAACTTTGTAGTAAAGATGTGCCAAAAATTAATCCCTGTGACAGGTATTCTGCAAATAAAATCATTTTTGTTTCTTCTGTTGGAGTATGTGACTCGTTGATTTTTTGGTCAGTTGGTCATATGTACTATTTTTCATATCACACATATTGTTCAGAGGAAGTAGAGACTGGACTGCTTTGCACTTTTTGTACATGTGGTGCAAGAAAATTGTGGACCTCATTAATATAATGATTGATATTACTTAAATTACATTCCATATTTGGATAGGCAACACATGAAGAAGCTTTTGACAGGATTTTTATAAAAATAGATGGGGGAGGGACAAAAATTTAACGAGGTAGAATAGGATATATGCCGAGCAGGCTGTTTTTCACTTTTTGATGGTATAAGGAGAACAGTATATGAAATTGTTACTTTTTCAAGTCAGTTTGGTTGGCTTACTCCCAAATGTGGTTTGCCTCTTTTGTTGCTTACGGTTAAATCTCACTTCCCTTGTTCTATTGTTGCAGCAAACTATGATGGGAATCACTTTTTTACACTTCAGGATGGTGTGAAGAAAGTAAGTTTTGATGGACTAGATCAACTGTATGAATTCTGCTGTAACTTTTCAGAATATTATTGATCATGCTTTCTCATGTGAGCATAAAATAAGGGTGTTTGAACTTTTTCTTACAGTGAAGCATGTCACGTTCTTCTATTGGAAGCTTATAAATCTATTATGTAAACTTAATTTTTACATGATTTCTAACAGGTCTCGAACATTTTGGACAGGCAACACCTTTACTTCTCACCGTAGCAGTAATTGAGCTCAGTGATATAGCATTTGCTGTATGTTATTCATGCCTCAATCATGTTATATATGCATTAGGTTGTGTTTAGCTTCGGTTTCCTAGTTTATGGCAACGCTCATTCACCGTTCCTTTTCTTGGACTTGGTGCTAGGTTGACTCAATACCTGCAGTTTTTGGTGTTACAAGGGACCCTTTCATAGTGTTCACGTCTAATTTTTTTGCCATTCTAGGTAATTCTGTTGCCGTTCCTGGAAATTAACCTCTTGGTATTTGGATCCTAACAACTCTGAAGTTCATTTTTTCTTCTTTTCTTTACATATCTTCAATCATTAAATAATGTGTCAACATTTGTTTGACCACAAAGACTCAGTATTAGAAATGAATACAGTTAATGGATAATGGGATAAAGTTCAATTGCTGTTGTTTAATCAAAGGTCTATCATGAAAGATGTGTCAGGATACTATTTTTTGTTCATTTGTTTCCTTTATCAGCTCTAAAGTAACTTTGGTTCGTATGCTTTGGGGATTTAAGTTTCCTGAGATGCATAATGACCGGCATTTCGGTGTATTGTAGGTTTGAGATCCCTATTCGTTCTTATAGCTGATGGTATGTCAGAATTGAAATACTTACAGGTAAATGTTTAGACTTATGCAGATCGAGAGCTGAGTCAAGTTGTTATCGTTGTTGCTTCCTTCCTTAACTTTTTTCTCTTTACGCTGATGGTGTTGATGCACCACAAGGCTAAAGGACCCTTTGTGGAAGTCTTAAAGAGTGTACGTGTGTGTAAAGTAGGATTCAGGTAATTAAAATGAAATGCTAAAATTGACATTGCGTTTGAATAGTTTTCTGGTAATTAATATTTTTGTGGATAAATACTATGGCCTCTTCCTGTAATCGTGAAAGCTGTTTCACTGTTTCCGTGTGTACGATGTCTTACAAATCAGTCAGTTCTTACTATCATGAACGTCCATTGAGGGAAATTTTCTAATTATTTTCAATCTCCTTTCAGCCGTCTATTGGCGTTGTTTTGGCCTTTATTGGGAGTAAGATGATCCTGGATTTCTTTGGTAAGCACTTCTGTCAACTTGAAATTCCAAATTTTTTCACTTGTATGCATATGCATTTCAAAATTCGAGGACGCTTAGATCTCTCTTCCTGCAGGATTCCATGTCTCTACTGAGGCATCACTTGGTTTTGTTGCAACAAGTCTGGGCACTGGGGTGCTGTTGAGTCTACTGAAGAATTCTGATTGATCAATTCATAATAATGGAAGTACAGGTATTTTACTCTAATTGAAGCAAGCAAGTTATGGCTTTGGTTGGAGCCCCTCCTTGCATTATGCTAATGGTACACCTTACTAATTCTGGGGTAACTTCGCATACCAAAAAGTTTTAAGTTATTAAGGTTCCGCTTGATGATCATTTTGGTTTTTGTTTTCTGTTTTTAAAAATTATATTTAATTTATCATTATTTCTTTGGTATGTTTTTCATCTTCCTAGGAACACATTTGAACCCTGGTTAAATTCCAAAAACAAAAACAAGTTTTTAAAAGCTAATTCTTTTAGTTTTCAAAATATGGCTCAAATCCTGAAAACATTAACAAAACCATGAAACACAAAGTTGAAGTAGTATTTTTAGACTTGATTTTTAAAAACAAAAAAATAGAAAACGAAACGATTATGGAATAGGACTTAAATTTTAAACCTTGGACTTTGAATCCAAGATCCTCCCCAAATATATGAAAGCCTTTACCACCAGGGTGCCCTGAGGGGTATTTCTCCAATTTTCTTTTATAAAAAACTAGAACTGCTGAAAGATGATATGAAGTTACTGTTACTGTTCTTATACATCTTTATTAAGAATAGAATACTCTAAAATATTATGTATAGCATAGAGTTGAGATTTTCATACTTTCTGATTACTACTTCCATGGTTGCCAGAATTTTGTGTCAAAATTGTCTCGCAATACTGTGATTGGAGCCTTGGTTTTACGCGGTAAAAGAAGATGCTTTCTGCTGTCAACAAATCCTGGAGGTCAGAAGAATCATCTTTTACCTGTCTTTGATTGTTTTGCTGAAATGATGAATTTGTTCTCCTATTTGCAAATAATTCCAAATCTCTCTCTCTCAAACAAATTCCAGAACTTGCTGTTGTAGATAGATGATTATTAGCTCTAGATCTCAGCTTTTAGCTTTTGGATAAAAGTAGGAATTTCTCAAGTAAAAGATGAGTAATTGTCAAAATTTTCTGCTACCAAATTGAACCCATCTGTCTCTCCTCTCTCTCTCTCCTCATAATTCTTGCTTGAAATTAGGAGGAAATCTTGTCGTCTTACTGATTTTCCAGTCAATAATTATATACGGCTTTGAAAAAATACCACACTTTTCTGCCCAACAGCAATATAGAGGTGACCACAATTTCATAGTTGTTATTGCTGTTTACCGATTCAAGAATAAGATTAATCATAAGTTACTGTTACTGTTGCTGATTGAATTCTCCTCAACTTTTTTGGTATCTATTTTTCTTTTTCATTTTGTGTAGAACTGATTCAAATAGATTTTTCTTGTAATTTTGATTATTTACAACATTTATTAACTTTAAACGACAATAAGATTAAGTTTTTTTAACAGGGAAAGATACTGTCCAATATACTGTCCATAACTGGACGACATGCTTCTAAAATAATCTCCGAGTCATTCGAGTCTGGACGAGTAAACTCTTTATTCATAATAGGTCAGAAAATTTTCATAATACAAATTTGGAATAATTTCCATACTAGTTTTGGTACCTCGGATTTTGAAGAAAATGACGGATTTCAAGTGAATTCCACTGTTTAATAGCATGTGATTTTGAATGATTTGAAATTTTATTGGATTTCAAATCTTATTTTTACTTAAAAAAATTTCTAGATCAAAATGGTCTAATTTTGTAGGATTTGATAGATTTTCGAATTAAATTACCTATTTAATCTCGTCATATTTTAGTTTCTAATTAATAAATTTAGACTAAAAGCCTAAATCAGTAAAATTTTTATTTTCTTTTCATTTCTAGTGAACATCCAAACAAAGCAATCTAATTTAATTTGTTTCAAATCATTCTTGTTCCAAACAAGATAAAGAACTTAAAATCATTTCTTGGATTTCAAATCAAGAAATTTAAAATCATTTCATCAACTTTCTTGACGCCAAACAAAGGGTAAAAAGATTTTTTTTTCTTTACATGAGAATAAGTAAGGGTTAAAATCTAAAATTAGAGCAGGATTCATATTCCAGTTCCAAATTAAAAGAATGATAAATTACAAAAAAGCAAAAAAAAAAAAAACACTTAACTTTGCCATTTCTTAAAAAAATA